AAAAAAAAAAAAAAGAAAGAAAGAAAAAGAAAAACCAAACAGATGGGTGGCGTCTGTGGCTCAGTGAGTAGGGCAGTGGCCCCATATACCCAGGGTGGCAGGCCTGAACCCGGCCCCAGCCAAACTGCAAACAAAAAATAGCTGGGCGTTATGGTGGGTGTCTATAGTTCCTGCTACTCGGGAGGCTGAGGTAATAGAATCGCTTAAGTCCAGGAGCTGGAGGTTGCTGTGAGCTGTGATGCCACAGCACTCTACCCAGCACGACACAGTGAGACTGTCTCTAAACAACAGAAAAGAAAAACCAAGCAACTACAACATGTATGGTACTTAGAACAAAGGCCTGGCACCTAGAAAGACTTAAATGCCACCTTATTTATCATGAAGAGTTTAAAAAGAGTTTGCAGGGCTGGGCACGGTGGCTCACGCCTGTAATCCTAGCACTCTGGGAGTCCCAGGCGGGTGGATTGCCTGAGATCAGGAGTTGGGAGACCAGCCTCAGCTACAGCGAGACCCCCTCCCTCCTGTAGTACTAGCTACTCGGGAGGCTGAGGCAAGAGGATCACTTGAGCCCAAGAGTTTGAGGTTGCTATGAGCTATGACACCACAGCACTCTACCAAGGGTGACAAAGTGAGACTCTGTCTCAGAAAAAAAAATATATATAAAGCGTTTGCACTTGTGTGTAAAAAGGAACCAAGTTTTGACATGATTCTTAGTATGAAGCAATGTAACAGGAGACGGAAAGTCTAAAGAACTGTAAAAGACATTATTCGTGCCTAACAACAGTTATGTGGTCTCTGCCATCTGGTGCAGCCCTGCCCTTGGAATTGAACTTCAGACAACATCAGTTTACTCCAAGATGAAAACGCAGATGTGGCTATATTTGATAGTAAGGGGTCTGTTGAAAGGAAAGAGAACCAGGGGGTAGATCTGGAGACTGAAACGCCACGGAGAAACCCCAACCCCAAACTGCTTAACAACTGCAAAAGAGGGTATCAACGGCTCAGGAAACGCAGGAAGAAAGTGAAGCCAGGCCAAAGCAGCGAAGGGCGGGGAATAGAAAGGTGGAACCGCCAGGGGGAACGTGGTGAGAAGAATCCCCAGTTAGTAAACCGGGAAGAGCACAGGACGGCCATGCCCGCTCCGGTCCTCCACCGGGGTCCCCGGGCCAGCCTTACCCAAGTCGGACGCCGCAGCCCCGAGGCCAGCTTCACAAACAGCCCCCGCAGCGTCGCTGCTGTCATCCCGCCCCACCCTCCACCTACCGGCTTCCCGCCGCCCGCGCGCCTCCTCCCAAAACCCGGCCCGGCGCTCCCGACCCACGGCTCTGCCTCCCCAGGGTCCCGCACGCCGACTCCACTCCCCAGCCCCGCGCCCCCAACCCACGGCTTTCCCTCCTCCCCCTGGGTCCCCGCCCCAGGCGCGGCCCGGCGCTCCCGACCCACGGCTCCTCCTCCCCAGCCTCCCGCACCCCGATTCCCTCCCGGGGCCCACTCCTAGCCTGGTCGGCCCCGGGCTCTCCGCGCCAGGTCCCGCCCTCAGCCCCTTCCCCTCCGGCACTGGCCGCGGCCTCTCACCCCTCCGGTGGCTGCCACAGCACTCGCTGGGTCGTGGGCGCGGGCGAGCGGAGCCGAGGTCGCGGTGGCGGTGCTCGCGTTTGCGGCGGCTGCTGGTCGCCCGGCGGAGCGCGCTCGGGCGCTTCCGGTGCGCTGAGAGCGGGGAGGACTTCGTTCTCGGCAAGCCCGGAGTCTCAAACACCATGGCCCTCGGGGGCTTGTCTCTTTGTGCCCGGCGGTGAGGTGGAGGGCCGTCCGCCCAGCCCAAGACTTATGGGGTAACAGCGCCGAGCACGCCCCAGGCCGCCATCTTGTAACTCGAATCTACCCCCAAAACGAAATTCGAAAAAAAAAGGAGGAAAGAAACGCCCGCGTTTAGTTACTGCGCAAGCGCGCGGGCGGTGTCGGCAGTGACTCCTCCTTCCGCTGGCCCTAGGGCGTCGAGCAGCGCATGCGCCCAGCTCCTTGGAAACCGGCGCGGGGTGGAGCGCACCAGTCCTGCGTCGCCGTTCGAGTGCGCACGCGCGCTGGCTTTGGTAGCTATGCGCGCACGGGTTCTGCTCTTTTGACCACCGCTGAGAGTGTTTGTGGTGGTTCGCGTTCGGCGACTGGGGGTTTTCGAGGAGCTCGGGAGAAAAAGGTCAGTCAGTGGACGTGGCCGAGGCTGTTGGAATTCCTGTGGGCAGGGAGGGGGGCTGCAGGGGCGGGGAGAGATCAGCGGAAGCTTGGAAAGCGAGCGAGGTGAGACAGGGGCCACGTTTGGCGCTCTCGGCTCCCCGGGGACGCGCCTGGGTGGCCCTGCTGGCGTTACGGGGGCTCCCCTGGCGGGTGGCTCGCGGAAACCTGGGATTCGGAACTAGGAACTGCGTGTACAGATGAGCTGCCGCAGCTGCGTCCTTCGTGAACGAGGACCGATGAACCCCGTGGTCATTCAGCAGTTTTGTATGTTTTCTGCTTTGGATGCCAGAGAGTAACTTGCCCAGATTCACAGGCCCGGTTAAGGATCGACGAAGATGGAGTGTATGCAGAACCATTTTAAAACCGTGGGACTGAAACTCATGCTCCGTGTCAGAACTTGTGTTCTTGTGCTTTTATTTGAACGCTGCATTTTCAGTTAGCGCGTAGTAACGCGTTGACCTGTACAGAGCAGTGATGTCTAACTCTGCCTGACGCTAGACACCGGGAATTAGATCAATTATTAATTAAAGGAACATTCTTAGAGCGCTGAACACTGAAGAGTTCGAAGTAAAGTTACCTCATCTCCCTGAGTCCTTTGCTCGTGTTCTCTTCCATCTGTTAATCCCTGCTGTCTACCTCTAAGGGTTCCTGGGAATGTCAAGACAGAAGGTGGGTCTAGTGTATTCCTGGGAATTTTGTACACAACCAACAAATTCTAATTTCATTTTATTTGCTCACAAAAAATTGGGGAACGCCTTTTTAGAAAAATTTGCATGAATGACTTTATGTTATACTTTTTCAGGAAGTATTTGAGGCTCTCTCTAAAATGTATGGGATTTACAAATAAAGTTTGCAAATGTTTTTACCCTCCTAGGCCACATTACTTTATTCTTCTGATTGGGAGAGTGGTGTCTGTGTGTAGATTGAAATTATGAAAGAGAAGATTTTAAAAGACATCTGTGTTTAGGATGTGAAAGCAAAATTGACAGTGGGAGAGGAGGTGAGAAAAACAGAAAGTACTAAGTGATTCTATCTCAAGGGCTGGCAAATGAAAGCAAGTTTGGAAAAGCCACCATCACTTGTCGGCCCCTTTAAGACCCACAAGGTTTGCCAGGATGAGGTATTGTCAGCACTCTGTGTCTGAAGCCACAGGCTGTGATAGCAGGCCCTCGGGGCTTCCTTTTCTTTCTCTTCCCTCTGACCTCCCCCTAGTCTTTATGGCTCTCAGATGTGTATTTGTATTCAAAGCAAGGTTCAATCAGTGTGCTCACCAAATATGTGCTGTGTAATAAATGTGTCAGGTTCCAACCAGAGAACAGCATCACCTTACTAATGGGCCATGCGAGTGCCCATTGACCTCAGAAGACAGGGTTACCAGGTGCCACAGGCCTGAAGAACTGGATGGACCTACCTCCTGTGCCCACCCCACCGTGGGCAGGGAGGCAGACCCCTGCGCAGCCACCTGATTTGTTCAGTGCTGGGAGAGCCACCGTCTGAGAGAGCAAGGACTGAGTGTCTCCTGCTCCACTAACATCCAACCCATTAGAAGAGGGAGCAGGGAGTTTACTACCACCCCCACCGCCAGGAAGAGTGGAAATCTCTGGACCTGGGAGGAAGAGGTTTGTGAGGCTGGGTTGGGAACACGAAGACCCCTCTAACAGAACTTTGAGAGAGACTTGGATGGCTTGAATTGTGTCTCCCCCACGTTTATCTGTTGGCATCTTATGCCCTAGTAATTCAGAATGTGACCTTATTTGGAATAGAGTCATTGGAGATGTCATTAGTTAAGAGGCGGTCGGTCATACTGGAGTCTGGTGGGCCCCCAATCCAGTAGAATTGATGTCCTTATAAAAGGAGGAAATTTGAACACAGGCACATATGTAGAGAAAAAGCCCTGTGAAGGGATCTGCGAGCCCAGGGTAGCAAAGGTAGCCAGCAAACACCAGGAACTCAGAGGCTGAGCAGATGATCCCTCATGCCCTCTGGAGGAACCACCAGCCTGCACCTGTTCTTGGACTCTGGCTTCCAGAACTGTGGGAGGGTAAGTTTCTGAGATTTAAGCCACTGGTTTGTGCTTTGTTATAGCAGTCCCAGGACACGAACATAGAGACCTGGAGGGAAATGGTGCTGAGGGGAGGACTCAGAAGGGGTTTAGATAGAGAGGGGAGGGGGGAAGCATGCTTGGGCCACTGCTGCTCCCAGTGCTGGGGGAGACCTTCCATGTTCCAGAACTCCAGAGAGGCCTTACAGTCAGGAGGAAAGAGCAGCAACTTCTGTCTCTTCTTGGAGTTCCCAGGAGGTTCCACCCTAGGGCTTTGTCGTCTTTCCTATTTTACAACTTGTGGAACACTGTACACTTGGGACTCGAGTGTGGACTTGCTAATTACCATGTGAGCATAGAGCCCATTTGCAAGCCACCTTGTGCTGGCCCAGACTGACACTCTTCCTCCCAGCTTTCCTTTCCCTCCAGAGTCTTGAGAGAAATGTTGATGGATCTGTTGCATACAAGAGGCATCAGCAAGTCTGATCCTTGTGTGATGTGTTCCCAGAGCAGCTCAGATTTAAGTGCAGTTAGTGTTTGCCTTGTCCTTGACCACAGTGGTTCTGACTTGCTCTTCAGAAGGCATGGTCCCATTCAGGTGACAAGGCCCACACCCACCTTGTTTGGTTTTATTTGCTGCAATAATTACCCAAGCAAACTTTTTCAAAATGTGTGAATTAAAAAGCACCAGGCTGAGGATGGGGGGGCCTGGGCTCCAGGCTTCCTGAGGCCCAGCAGACATCTCTCTGGTAAAGCCTCTACCCTAGCCGCCCCTTCTGCAGCCCTCTGCACTGTCAGCTCCCTCTAGAGGGTAATGTGTCTGTGTTCCTTCCTCTTCCTCTCTTGTGTATTGCCCAGCATGTGGCTGGCTGGTAGTACAGGGATGGCCTTCACATGTCTAGCGCCTACTGAGTGGCCAAAGACAGACATCCTCCCCTGCTGGCTCCAGCCTGAGCCTCTTAGAGCTACCTGAATCCAGGGCATTAATTTCCCCAGCATCTGGCTTAGTGCCTGGCACCTAATATTCAATTTGCATCAACCTTGTGATGCAGGTCAAATCATTTTACATTTCTGGGCTTCCCTCCATTGTCTTCTCCAATGCTCTCTTTAAGGGGACTTTCAGCTCTAAATGCCTATATTAGACACGTGAGTGTCATTTTCTAATAGCTTCTAGCTACCAATAACTTTCCACCCAGCATCCCCCAACTCAAGGGTTTTGGGATACTGACTTAGTCCTATAAGAAACCAAGAGGGGCTCGGCGCCTGTGGCTCAAGCGGCTAAGGCGCCAGCCACATACACCTAAGGTGGCGGGTTCGAATCCCCAGCCCGGGCCCGCTAAACAACAATGATGGCTGCAACCAAAAAATGGCCAGGCGTTGTGGCAGGCGCCTGTAGTCCCAGCTACTTGGGAGGCTGAGGCAGGAGACTCGCTTGAGCCCGGGAGTTGGAGGTTGCTGTGAGTGTGATGCCATGGCACTCTACCCAGGGGGATAGCTTGAGGCTCCGTCTCAAAAAAAAAAGAAAAACCAAGAGGATTGCTCTCATGATCCAAGACTACAATCATGCTTCTTATCACTGGATTATTTATTGATGTGCTGGAGGTCCCCAGGATCACCTTCAGGTCCCCTAATTTCCTAGACAGGCCCACAGAATTCAGAAAATCTGTTTCACTCATGGTTTTTTTAGTTTCTTACCTTGAAAGGACGGAGACTAAAATCAGCAGAAGTAACAGGTAGACTGGGCAGATCTGGTCTAGGAGAGACCAGGCATGGAGCCCCAGTTGTCCTCTCCCAGAGGAGCTGCGTGGACAGTGCTTAATTCTCTTAGCAGTGGCAGTGAAGGGAGGTGAGGGACCTAGTGGATACTTGATCAGATTTGAGGAGGTAGAATCAATAAAACTTGGAGATTGGGCTTGGCGCCTGTGGCTCAAGTGGCTAAGGCGCCAGCCACATACACCTAAGGTGGCGGGTTCAAATCCAGCCCCAGCCCGCCAAAACAACAATGATGACTGCAACCAAAAAATAGCCAGGCGTTGTGGCGGGCGCCTGTGGTCCCAGCTACTTGGGAGGCAAAGGCAAGAGATTCGCTTGAGCCCAGGAATTGGAGGTTATTGTGAGCTGTGATGCCACAGCACTCTAACCAGGGGGATAGCTTGAGGCTCTGTCTCAAAAAAAGAAAAAAAAACTTGGAGATTGATTGGATCATAGGGGTTGCAAACAGGAAAGTCAAGGATGACTTGCCCCTTTCCTACTTATGAAAGGGGGACCTAAGAAGGGACGAGCATCTGGGGACAGAAGAGGAAATGGTAATCTGAGGTGTATGTGGTTACAACCATGTGGGTCTGAAATTTAAACAGGGGCTTTGGGCTGGGAGTCGTAACTTCAAAGAGGCCAGGTGTGGTGGCTTAGGCCTGTGATCCCAGAATTCTGAGAGGCTGAGGCAGGAGGATCGCTGGAGGCCAGGAGTTCCAGACCAGATTAAGTAACAGCAGAAAACTGTCTCTATAAAAAATTAAAAAATTAGCCAATCATGGTGGCGGACACCTATAGTCCCGGCTACTCTGGTAGCTGTGGATTGCTTGAGCCCTTGA